TTAAGCAAGATAGTCAAGCTCACTTATACAGCTTCTTAAACAACTACTCTTACATGACACTGCTGACTAGTTACCGCTTCGGTTCTACTACATTACATGTAAGAAGAAACAGAGTATAAGTCTTTATAAGATCTTCTATTCAGATTGTCTGAACTACAACTGAAGAATAAATATACTCAGTATATTCAGAAACTGCTTACAGCAAAGATTAATTCTACAGAAATAAAGAATTAAAGAGACTTAAATAATCTCTTATAAAAAGAGAGTCAGATTTATATACCTGTGAATAAGTTTCTATATATAGAACTTATTAAAAGATATCATGACTCTTCTCTAGCAGATTATTTTACAGATACTAGAACTTATAAGTTACTTATAAGAAAATACTTCTAACTGAAGATATAAGAACTTATAAAGAAGATAGTGAATTCTTATACTATTTATCAGAGTTCACAGATAGTGCAGTTCAGATTATATAAAGAACTTACTTCTCTACTCATTCTATAGAAATCTTGAGAATAGCTAGAAATAAATACTCTTATAAGTCTCTCTGAAAGTAAGAACATATATAATGTCTGTTTTGACAGTGTACTGATGATAGTAAATCACTTTATTAAAATAACATACTTTATACTCATCTGTAAGAACTTAAAGTCAAAGAATTTAACTTATATCTTTATTTATAATGTAATCTGATTGTATGAATTGTCTGTGAACATTATCTCAGATAGAGAATTAATCTTTATAGAAGAGTTCTAGTCTGATCTGATAACTATACTGAAGATCTTATAAGATTTAAACACAGCTTTTTATTAATAGATAGATAATTAGATAGAATATCTGATAAGTATATTAAAACAGTATCTGTAGTACTTTATTAATTATAATCAGAATAACTGAGTATATTAGTTATTACTTACAAAGTTTATATATAATAACTTAAAGTATGTTAACATAGATAAAATCTCTTTTAAGATGCTTACTGAGACTTATCTATGAATAATCTTGATAAATCTGTGAGAGTATACTATAGAGTGTGATGATACTTATGAACAGACTGAGAGAATTCAGAATATCTGAGAGAAAGTCTGTGAATTCTTGAGAAAGACTTAAGAGTATTAGAAGAGATACTATGACTTCAAGTATATTATAAAGAGTTTTAAAAAAGATAATAGAGTCTGACTGAGTCTAGAAAATATTATTATGTGAAGATCTAGTAAGAAGCTGAATCTCTTATAGACAGAGTCTTATAAGATTATGAAGAAAGTTAGTTTATAGTTTTATAGATGAAAACTATTATCTGAGTTACAGATATACAATATTTTTCATATCTCTTTACTTCATGAATATAAGAAATTCTCAGAAGAGAATTCTATGACTCATCACTCTATTCATAAGATATTAAAGAGTGAAAGAGAACATCAAATTAAAGAGATTATTAACTCAGAGAAGTGAGATTATAAGCTCTGATTTAAGATTTAGTAATAAGAGTATTCTAATAAGATAGATGAGTTCACTTGAGAATTATTTAAGTAGATAAGACATCTATAGAAGCTGAGATATAACTTTCATACTGTAAATTCTGATAAGTCAGAATAATACAGTCTTCACTAAGAATCTGATTATAATAAAGATATTAACACTGTTATTTATAAATTCTAGTCTATAAGATGATGAATTTCTACTGAGATGAACAGTTTATAATATATATAAAGAAAAGAAGAAATCATGCTCTTATTAAAGTTAAAAAATAAGAAAATAAAAACAGAACTATGAACATAACTTAGAGATTAATAAAGAAAAAATAAAGAAAATTCACACTTATATTCTTAATATCTGTGACATTTAATTCTCTCATAACTATCAATTTCTTTCTTTAAAGAAGCAGAGAGTATTATATCTATGATACAGATAATTATTATATTTAATATAAAGACTGTCAGAAATGCACAGACTTCAGAGAAGTTAAATATCAGAGTATATATAGTTGTAACTTGTAGCAGAGTTTTAAAGACTGACTGTCTATGCATGTAATCAGATATCTCTTACAAAGCTGTGTTTACTTTCTCAGTTATACTGAAGTATTCAGTCTGAAAATAATTAAGATATAAAGAGAAAGCTCATCTGTTCAGATCAACTTCTATTATAAATTTATAATATTTACATTATCTTAATTATCTGAATTTTACAGATACTCAGAAACTCATCTTTTATTAATAATAAGATTGTGAAAATGCACTGCAGTACAAGAATTATTGATAGAGAATCTAGATATATTTGTATATATTTAATCAGAGATTATGTGAGTAGAAGAGAGATAATCATAGATCTGCAGAGCTGTAGAAAACACTGATAACACTGAGAGTTTTACAAGAACTATTAGCTAGAATCTGTAAGAAATTACTTATAAAGAGACTTACAGTAAAGAGCAGAATTACACTGCTTAAAGTCAGAGACTGATCTGAGAGAGACATGAAATTGATCACTGATCTGAAGATCAGATACAGTGACAGAGCTGAAAGAGATAAAGACACTGTTATAAGCAGTGATATCTCTGCTTTATTAGCTGATAAAAAGTGATCAGAGAAGTTACAGAGATGCTTATAAAAAGCTCAGTAGTAGTTAGATATTATTTATAAAGATATTGAAATTGAAAAAATTTCTATTCTTGAGAAGTTCTTGAATCAATATATAAATATTATTAAAAATACTCTCTCTCTATTATCTGAATAAAAATACTTTACAGATGAATGAGAATACTCACAGTTTATAAAAATAAGAGCTGTTATAGAAAAAGAAAAAAGAAGATAAGATTTCATAGACAGATCTGAGATATTTATACTACTTTAAAGAGATTTACTTACACTGTGAGTGATTTCACAGAACAGTCAGATTACTCTAGTAAATAAAGAGTGATTATAAATTATAGATCTGAATCTTTCTATATAACTATAAAGAGTGATTATAGACTGTGAATATCTTAATTCTATAATTCTATAGAGTTAATAAAAGAATGAAAAATTCCTTACAATTCTATAGTATTAAAGAATAATGATTTATAAGAATAAGTAAAAGATTAACTTATAAATACTTCTCTTTAATAAAGATAATCTTATAGAGAGTGATTTATCTATAAGATAAATCTGTATAATAGTTATATAAGAATCTCATGAAAATGATTAAGAGTTAACTGAAATTTTTCTATATAAAAGATGTAAGATGAATCTGTATAATAGTCAGAGAAGAATCTGTAGATTATAAAGAATTTTATAAAATAAGAAACTAAGTGACAGACTCTTTTCTCTTTATAATAATAAGAGATTTTTCCTCACTGAGATTTTTATAGATATAAAGAATTTTTAGTGAGTATCACTACAGTACTGAGCTCATTCTATGAAGTTACTCAGTGAAAGACTTCACAGATGAAGTCTTAGAGAGAGAAGAGTATATAAGATATTCTACTTCTTATGAATTCTTTATCTCTATTTCTATCTCTTGTATAATTAATAGAGTTAGTGACTCTTGACTATATATAACTATATAGACTGAAGTTCATGAATACTATTCATAACTCAGCTTGAATACTATTATACATTTAACTTCTATATTTTATCTTTCTACTGTGAATACTTCTAGTAGTTAACAGTACATATCACATCAAGCTGCAAACACTTAAATAATCGCCTGTGAGTACTTATTCTTACAGAATTTTATTATACAGTTATCATACTTCTGTGAGTTAATAACAGTGATAAAGTGTATCAGTACAGATAATACAGTATTGAATTCATTGATTATAATAAAATCAAAGATTTATTTAGAGAATTAATATATATACTTTAACTTATCTGATAATTATATTATTATCACATTCAAGTCTAGCTTTATAAATAATGAAATTGAATTTGAATAAATTAAGTGATTTAATAAGATGATAAAAAAGTATTAAATAAGCAGTCATTGACTGCTATTAATAAATAATTATAATTCTTATCTTATAGAAGAATTTATTTAATACTGTAATCTTTATAAGATTATTCTATTCAGATTCTTATCTTATATAAGTTATATTCTATAATCTCTTAATAATGTATCTTTTCAGCAGTATAAGTATTATTATATAAAGATAGTTAATGAGACTGCTTACTACAGATATAAGTAGTATAATGATAGATAATTTCTTACTAATCTGAAGAGTATTCAACTGTAAGTATTTAAATCTGATACTATAAGAGCTGACTTTGTTAACTATGAAATGTATTCAGTTAATTATAATATAATTCTCAATTAATTAAAGTCTCTTATCATTGATAATACTCTGAATCTCAACATATATAATAATAATAATAATATATGTAATTACTTTATCTCATCATCTGTAGATCAACTGTTAACTATTTTCTTATAATTAATCTTCTCAGAGATAGTTATAAAACTATATCACTAAATTAATACAGCAGTTAAGATCTTAGAAGATGTGAAGAATATTCTTATATCTGATTTAATAAGATGATTAAACAAGATCTTCAAGAGTAGCATGATTCAGATGAAATTAAATATATATTATAAGAGTAAACTTGCAGATTATTATTAAATAAATAGATATTAAATTGTTAAATTCTTCTACAGATAGATACAAGTAGATGAAGTTCTTATTATTAAGAATATCAATCACAAGATCATGATTTATAGAGTAGATGAGATAAAAAAGATATTTAATAAGACTCTTTAATTAATTGAAATCAAATCTATAAAATCTACAGTCATTCAATCATAATAAGATAATTCTATAGAATCTCAACTTACAGTGAATTCTACATCTTCTAATGAGTATATAGATAATCTTTATATTATAGATAGATATAATGATGATTATTAATTAATTTTTGAAGATTACTATATTCAAAATATTTTCTTTACAGTGTGGTTTTCTGTACACTGTGGCGCACTCACTACAGAGAGTGAGTAAGCATGGCATGGTTAGAAGTAAATATACATTTGTCGCATAGAGCGATGTCTAGTATTAACATTGTGAGAGGGCCGGATGAAATGGAAATAATATGTATTTCTTGTTTTGTTTGGGGTATCTATGTATAAATATCTAACTATGTATTCCGCCATATTTACATGTACTCATTTGTGATTTTCGGAGTGTTGTGCTGTGTGGTTTCATCCTTCTCTTTGTTTCGACGGGGATCTGATTCCGCCCCAGAAAGTGAATAGAAAACCTCACGAACTAACGCTGCGTACAGCTTTCTTTTTTATCCATCTAGGATGATCTACTAATATCTATTGTGAAAAGGGAAAATGATTGCGCCATCGTGTGCGCGGCACACTATTCACCAACTTCCTTTGCTTTCTTTCCTGTTTTTGTTGGCTTTATCGCACACACAGTTCGTCCGTGTACGCTTATTAAATACACGTCGGTTGAGCGAGCGGACCATGCATGGTGTCCCAAGATTAATGGAAGCATGTACGTCACTGCTGTGTTGCTGCTGTTTTCTCGATGGTTTGTTTTCTCTTTCCTTTTTTATTTTTCTTCTTGGTTCAGCGAATTAATGCATATGCTTGTTCGAGGAATCGAGGTTGTACACGTATTTCTTGCATGTGCCACAAAAGTTCCTCCTGTTTTGTGTGTACCGATGGGAGTGAAAAAAAAGGATAGACAAGGAAGAAAGTTCGCCAGCAAAAGTCGTTAAGTCGCTATTAAAGAAACACATCAAGGATCGGAAGTTTGAGATTTCTCAAGTAAAGAGCCTCCGTTCCGTCTTCCACAAAACAAATTTCAAAAAGGGCTTTCGCCTCCAGAAGCTTGCCAGAAGCGTTCTGGCTTTGTAGAGGAAATGTTTCGTTGGCTGGAATTTGATGCTTTGGTTGAGCCAGTAATTTCTGTCGCTGAATGGGCTGGCGTCTTGGCTGCCGTAAACCTAGGTAGGGAGTACGTGAAATGCTTCAGGGTATTGTCATTAGGGTGGGCTTAGCGATAGTCGCCCAATGGCGGAATCAGCCAGGTGGGATCTCAGGGTGTAACGGAGGTATATGAACCGGAAGGATTTCAGGTTGGTTCACCATTAACCTGGTCCCCACTAGGAGCGCCGTGCGAAAAATCCGGTGGTGGAGGTGGAGGAGACACCTCTAGTATATGTGAAGAACGTTCTGATGAAGGGCGGGCATTTTGGTCGGTGTCTGCCGACGCAGATCTTGTACCATCAGCAATACAGGACCCTCTCAGCAGGCATTCATCCATCAGAGATGCAGGTCCGTCCCTCACGGCCAATCCAATGGCAAGAACAAGTGCAAAGGAAAACCTAGCCCATACTTCAAACGGTCTCTTTGGTGGAGGTGGCTCTGTAGTAATAGCTATGGGAAGTCCGTTTGTGGAACCTCCCGGAGGGGTATGGATTAATGCTGACGTATCGTCGGGCGAAATTATAGTGGTCTGTTTGGTTGGGGTTCCTTCACAGTGTGAAGTACGGGGGCTCGTTCTAGAGCGGTACGAGTTCGTTGGACTCCTGGAGTTGGTAGTGGACGCTGTGTCATCGTTATTGTCGTAATTAATTTGACACTGGCGTTTGTTTTTGAGCCACTGATTTCTTGGTTGGCCACTTAAGAACAGACCTAGGACCCACCAGGACATCTTCCCAAGGTGGTTCCAGTTTGCATGCCATGCATTTGCAATGATTCGCCGAATCAAATTTGCCGGGTTAGGTGCGACATCCCAAATGTAGTAGTAGAAAGGGTAGAAGGGGTCTTGTCTGCTGTCAAGCGATGGGACAAAATTTCGTGACGCCGGATAAATCTTGCGAAGCCTTGCAATCTTCGAATCCAGCACCGCCACAGGGGTAATGTCCCGGTCAGTTTCGCGGTTGGTTCGGGGTCTTACGCGCAGTGATGGGTTGCTTTGGCGAAGCTCATTCTCTAGCGTGCGTGGTGCCACTTGCTTAAGTGGCTCGTTTTGAGTTTGACTATTGAACGCTGGGGATGCCATCAGAGTGCTTGGATGGATATCATCGAAAAATATGTGAGGTGATGATCCTGTAGTCGAAAAATCATCCAGGTCAGTTTCTAGAGGCGCAATTCCCCCGGACATGCTATGGCCATTGATGGCTTCATCGAACGTTTGATATCGATGTGATTGTCCCTCCAGAGCACGTAGGGTGTCCGGCTCTACCCAAGTTGAGTTGGGAGAATCGTGAGCACTAGTTGGGCGCAAATGAAAAGGGGATATTGGATCGTTGGAGAAAGTCTGGCGGTGTATTTGGCTAGGTACATGCGGTGAGGTAGCGGGTAGGATGAGTGGCTTCAATGTGCATGACCCTGGAGGGAATCGCCTCATCCTCCTGTGACGACTGGAAAATTTCCCTTGAATCTCAGGTGATAGAGGAAAAGAGGTTCCCCAATGGGATGGGTTTGATGAAGCATGTGAAATCATGGATGAGCGTTGTGAGTCTAGCGCGCGGGTAGACGGAGGGGAACAGGAGTCACCCACTCCAGAATCGAGAGACATCAGTTCGGCATCATCCGTCTGTTCAAATCTTTGCGGGGGCGAAACGTAGGGGTGATCAGATGCTTGGTGGTAGTGAACAGAAGGGTCTGTTACGGCGTTTGAGCTGGGTACCGAAAGAGGTTGGAAAAGCGCTTTTCGAACGGGAGACAAAGGAATCTTGGAGAACATAGATCGAGGCCTTGGAGTATGATATATACCGTCCGCCTGAGAAGAAGAAGTCTCAGGCACAATATTCAACCCTGACGATGGCTCCATCCGTGTTGGCGACTGAGCCAAAAGTTCTGTTAACACATCAATCCTCCGTTCCAGGCTACGGTTCGTCGCATTAACCGCTTCCATGTTTTGTAACTTTTGGGTTGCCATTTCAATTTCCCATTGCTGCTCATGGATCTTATTTTCCTTAATTTCGACAAGTCTCTCCAAAGAACGAATTTTAGCACGAAGCTCTGATTCTTTGTCGATCGTATTGCGTAATTCGTCTTTCAATCGAGCTTCGAATTTGGTCTCCCATTCTAGCAGCTCTTGTTTCAATATTTTATATTCCGCATTGAGAGCTTTGAACTTTGCTGCTTGAATATTCGTCGTAGATGAGTCTATCGATTCGGCACGATTTAAAGAGGCGGCAAGCTGCTCTTCTAGATGTTCTATATACCTAGAAAGTTCGAGATCTGAGTTCCTGTTTGTAATATTAGGTCGTCTTTTTGGGCGGTCGAGGCTGCTGAAGGGGGATGACCTCCAAGACGGTTTTTTCGGTTTCGATGGCATATCTGTATCACTGTAGTCGAAAGTGTCCAGATCAATAGGAGGCCCTAATTGCCCGCTACACTTCGAAGGAGAATAAAGGGGGAAGTCATTGGTAGATGTAGGTGGGTCCGGAGAAGGCAGATCATGGAACAAGGAAGCTGCTGGAGGTCGCGGAGACTGACGATACCTCCTCTGCGTAGAGTTATTGATTTCTTCAAGAATACTCGAGCGGCGCGTGTGTGATGTGGTCAGTTTTGAGAGATTGCAGCTTTGATCTATGCTGGCAGTATCATCACTTTGTTTCTCTGTATGTTGATCAGAGGCCCCCGAAGGCGATCGCCATCTTGTGAAAGGAGGGCTTGGTTTTCGTGACTGGAGTAACGCGCCACGAAAACCTGCGTTTCGAAGTTGGAGCCGTCGATTCTGGGCGCTGCAAGGCTTTTCAAGCGGGTGTTGGGGTGGAGAAATGGATGAAAGGCGGGTGGGGTGGAAGATACTGGTACCACGGGAGGAATGTGGTCGTGAGGAGGTGGTGGTGGTGGTGTTATTGTTGGGGACAGTATCGGAGGGTGACAAGGAGGTTCCGGAAATCGTAAAGACATTGGTGTCCATGGCGGAAGCCCACAAGATAACAAATTATTTTTAACACAGGCGTCAGAAGCCAGCTCCATCACAGTCCAGTCCCGAAACATGTGCGAAAAGGGGGCTCTGAATTAGTAGAGGGGAGCGCACGCGAATCTGAAATGGACCGAGGAACAATGGAGGGCCCCTGAATGATGACCAAATCTTGTGCAGGGGCCAGAATAAGAGATGATGCGGGAGGAAAGCGCTGGAGATTCCACGAGAAGTTCTAGTGTTGTTCAGCGGCCAAGTTGGTTGAAAGATCCCTTATCAAAGTACGGCGTAGAGGAGCAACCCCGGACGGCACAATTGGAGATCAGAGATCAGGTTGACTGGATCTTGCAAGCTATTATTGTTATTTTGCATGACAGCCCAATGTTTGTTTTCGTCGGCCCGCCGCTCTTTTGCCATCCGAGATGTTAGTTAACTTACCTGTTGTTGCTAGGGAAGTCCGGCCGGAGCAAGGGCCGAGGAACATCTAGCAATTGGCTTGTTACCATATTGGGACTGGTAGCCGCCTAGACGATCACGTGATAGCGCCACAAACTCCGCTTTCGGAAATGATCCAGGGTCGGGCTGTTGATAGTTATTATTTTTAACAGCTCAACACCTTCGTCATTGGAACCGGCACCCCCTTCTCTAATTCTTGCTGCTTACTTTTAAGGATAATTGAAAGGATCTAAATATTGCTGCGCTTGGCCCCGCAACCAAATCCCACCAGCTCTCTGAGTTCCTTGATATTTTGGTATTACGCATGCTTCTGTATCTGACAGTTCTAGTCATGAATACCACGGAATCCCCGATAGGAACTGGTCACTGATGTCTCGTAAGTGTAAGGCACGATAGTTAAAGGTTCTATGATGTGATCATCATGCTCTAGAAATTCGAGCCTGAGGGGATTCGGCCCCATTGACGTTAACATCCTCGCCACCATTGGGGCTCGTGAGGGCCGAACACTTGAGATATCATCTTCTCGATACTGTCAATTGGCTAAAGTTGCCGCCGTGATATCACGTTTGTGCTGTCAGAAAACCTTAGAAGCATTTCTACAGAATGTGCACAGCCAATTGGTAAACACAGTGCTTCCTTTCGTGCGATTAAAAATTATTACTGGCAGTTAGTTCCAAGCTGGAATTCTTCTTTTTTTTAGTTATATGTTGGCAAGCTTGAGTGCTTCAAGCTACTGCACATGCACCTGGCTCATGAGATGGAATGAATAGAGCTGTTCATTATCAAATAACATATTCTGAATTTTTCACACACTATCTTTATTATAAATATAATAGCAAAGCAATTGAGAACACTCACTCCTTGTATGTTTTTATGTTTTGCCGGCGCAGCGGAGGATTCTAATTGGCTAAAGCCTAAGTAACGACGGCCCGGGATTATTCAGCGAGAAAAATAAAAATTTTCTAACTGGTGTAAAACATCCGTACAACTTCCCAAAAAGCAGCAACCCACTAATACTGAAGGTCTCCATACTTTACAACGAACCTTCTGCCAGTGACATTCTCTGCTTCAATAATAAAACAGCCTGAAAATAAAACAGTGAAAGGAATTCATGGCTCAAGGCGAACTCAAAAAGTCGAAGGCAGCGTCCTCTGCCAAAAGGTACGCCCTTCCCTCCAAAACACATATACAGCACGGTTGATTTTATGAAGAGAAATAGCCAAGATATACTTATCAACCTGTAGATCCAATGTCCTGGGGCCCAAAAAGGGCGCACGAGTAATCGCACCCAAGAAAGCAAACCTGATTAGGCAAAAGAAGATCACAAAGGTACGCAAAGAAAAATTTCCCGTCAAATTCCATCCCGGCCCTGAAGGGGTTTTGGCTTCGTTAGAAAATGGACATCATACGAAATGAAACGGAGCCAATTCGGCAAAACCCCAGTGGGAAGCTACGTGAGAATATTGGGTTCTGACTTTTCATCTAACTAGAAAATCTCTTCTGGTCTAACCGCTCGAACGGAACGGGCACTTGCTGAAAGAGCGGGGCACTTGGAGTTACTTGCTGGAGGGAAGAAAAGTAAAGATGGAAAGGTGAAGAAATGAGGGGATCTGTGGAAAAAAAATTATAAATGGTAGAGGTTATTGCATACGGGCGCTGAGCAGACAAATGGGAGCACCCAGATAACATCCAGCCCAAGGCGGATTTTAAGGATACTCAATGCGCTGCTGGGAGAAGGATTTACGTACGACAATTAGATCGCCCTTGGTCCGTATGACTAGTATCGTCATTGTCATCGCCAGCCAATACTGCCTTCGCCATGTTCTCACCCCCAATCGACCCATTTGAAAGCTTCGTCAAATTACCGCGACTGTGACATTCCTTCATACCGACTCTGAATCACTATTCAAGGACAGCTTATAAGGAAATATCCAGTTTGCACGTTTCACTCCACCGAGCAAAATACCCCGGAAGATAGATACGCCTCCAGAACCTCCAGAAAAGCCACTCAAGACAGAATCTTGGAAAACAAGAAAGGACTCAATTTAAATCGAATTTTGGAGCTACTGTATGAAAGAACTACGACCGAAGAAAACGAGGAGGGAGAAGAAAGTTGGGTGGTGACGGACTGGGACATACATGAGTGGACGCCATGTCGCTCAGCCTCGTCAACCTCGCCTAAGTACCTGCACGCCGATTGGACCGGGCATCGTCAAATCGCTCATGATGCGTCGCATAAAAGCGGATCACCTTCGTTGCCATGATAGATGGCGCATGTACTCCAGCTTCTCATGATTGATATGTAGAAATACGGAATAATATTAACGAAATCAGGTTTTCTTTTTTTTTTTTTTTTTTTCTTTTCTTTTCTGATTTTTTTCCCACGTACTGCCCCCCCCCCCCCCCCCCCCCCCTTTTTTGGCGGGAAATAATGCAATAGCGAGGGAAAGAAAGAACCGTTTTAAAAAAAAACCACCGCGAAAAAGAGGGGGGGGAAAAAAAGTGGGGGGGTCCGGTGGGGCACACCCAGGAGGGGACCACATTTGCTCCCCCCTCTTCACCTTCCGTAAAGACCCCCCCCCCCAGTGGGCCCGGCCCTTTTAAAATCCCCCTGAGGGGTCTCCAAAAAAGGGGTGCCCCTTTGTGCCCCCAATAAAGGGGGCCATTTACCCCCCTTTTCCCTGTTGGGATGGGGGAAAAGGGGAAAAATTTTAGAGAAACCGGGTTTTTTTTTTTTTTTTTTTTTTTTTTTTTTTTTTTAGTTTTTTTTCCCGGGTTTTCCCCCCCCCCCCCCCCCCCCCCCCCTGCTAGTCAGGATATGATGCCATAGGCTAGGAAGTACAGACACGTTTGACAAATGAACCAGCCAGGGCTATGAGGGGAAATCATATATGTATATATATCTTACGAGGCTTCGTACGCTCGTTTTTCGGGGCTTTCGGCCCGGTCGCCGCGATATGCAGGAAAATGAAGCTTACCGGAATGGAACATATTTTTTTATATTATCATTGGGTGGCTGATTCTACGCTCGAGGCGGCAAGTAGAAGTTTCCAAACCTCCGTAAATGGAACAGGAACAAAAAAGAATGCAGGGCATTGGTTAGAAATGGTTAGAATATTAGGATGAAGGATATATTATTAGACATTGGTATCGTAAATTATGAAGCTATATACATGCGCATAGAGGAAGAGGGGGAAAAAAAAAAAAAAAAAAAAAAAAAAAAAAAAAAAAAGAATGAATATGTCCATGTGAAGATGAGGTAAGGGTAAATATTCGAATATAAGCAGGGAACAGTGGCTTTTGCGGAACGGCTTCTTTGGCTGTTCAAAGGAGCAGTTCGGTGTATGTCCACACGTAGCCAGAATCCTGCTCTGGCATGGTGCATGTGAGTATATATATTAAAATAGAGTTGAGGTAACAAGAAAAATGATCCATGGATAGCATTCCCAGCAGAATAATGATCAGAGTGAAGCACAATTGCGTTATTACGTTCAGATATAGGCCAATGAAAAGTAGAAGAGAATAGGAAAAGTAGAAGAGAGTATTCACTTAACGAGAAAGACGGGTAGAAAAATCATTCCACCCCCTAGCGCCGCAATCTACTTGCAAAAGCTCGAGATTCGACCCTGCACACCTGCTTCTCGAATAAGTTCCTTGCCTCTCGCCATCCAGACATTAAACCCGTCTATTGACGGGTCGGACGGGAAATCATCCCAAATACTCGTCGCATCTGCATAGGTTGACCACACCCCATGGAGCTCCGTCGGGGCCGTCCACGCAGGCAACTTCAACTTGACAGATGAATAATAAAAGTACAAGACCTGGCAGAGGCGGCGAACACGGTCCTCGTAGCGCTCCTTATTGGCATCTGGTGTGGTGCCGCCGTCGCCTAGCAGTTCCCACCATGACACCCGCCACCGGAGTGTGAGCAGGATCTGTCCCAGCTGTGAGACAAATTTTATAAAGGAGTCGTAGGGAACGCTGTCCCATTTGTTCTTGTTCAGGACGTTTTGGAGAGCGCGGTAGCCGTCTACTTCGAGTTTGCGACAGAATATGCGGGAGAGTTGGGCTGCAAGGAGGATGTCGACGCAGTCTTCTGGATCGTGGACGTCCATGGGCCGATCAGCTTGGTCGTCAGATATGGGGACAAAATCGTAGCTGGCACGACTGGGCATGTTGTTCCATTGGGATAGGAGGGACTGTATGTGCTACACATTAGCCGTGCAATTACACACTAAGGGGCTGTCGCTGGAAGGGCTTAGGCTTACAAAAAGATTGTTTACTGGATCGCAGTCCTTGACGCAGCTTGTCCACTTGTTGAATTTCAGGATTTTGCGATCGATGAAATCCCCAAGGTCATAATTAGAGCTGTCTTCCGCTTTACTGAATCCCTTGAGGTAATTATAAGTTTCATTCAGGTCTAATGTATACAGGGTACCCCACGATTGACGAGCCCGGATGTTGAATCGTCCACGACGCTTGTCAAGGAGGTCGAGCAAATCTTTCATTTCGAATGTAACTGGTAGTTCCATCCTTACCCGCGTCGATCCGTCTAGGGTTGGATGATTGATTGCTCGTTGGGCTGGTAAGAAGTTAGATGTCAGGAAGACGAATACATAAATCGAAGCGCAAATTGAATAGCAGACCTACAAATATAGTTGCACGTTCCAGACTCAACAATTTGGAAAAAGTCTGCTTTCACGCATGGTTGCTTGAAAACAACAGTTTCGGCCTCTTCCATGCATGTTCTGGCCTGCTCGACGCATGTGCTGCATGGACTTTCGCCGGAACACTAGTGGCTAACGATCAGAAATGTCACGCAGGTGAAGGAAAAATAGCTTATTACCTTTTTCTTCGCTAGACGGCACCATACGCATACACTTTTATCCTTTCTGCGCATCGCAGCATTTCGCCGCCCGTCGAGGGATAAGGGGCCGTTACGACGTGCTCTGGGCACCGCTGGGATACATGCTGAGGGTTCCAATGACCCGCCAAGCCCATCCTCTTGAACAATCTGTATAGCCATCGTCTTCACAGGCTTCTTGTCCACAGCACCCGTATTCCTATTCTTCCGTTTTCGGGTTGTGGCGGCACGAGTGCTTTGGTTCGGCTTCTGGGGCATTCCTCTTGAAGGCAACTCGGTTATAGTCATATGGTTCGATCCATCTGGGGAGAGGAGCAGATTACTCGAGAAATTTTCTTTTATGTTGTTCACAGGACTGAGGTGGTGGGTTTTCTGTGGCGCTTCCTCTTCGGAGTGGCTACGCCATCCTATATATTGGCCATTACCTTCCTCCGTATATTTCGAATTGAGAATGATATGCGTGGTGTGGCCTGAAGTGTGCATACGAGTCTTGTCAGAAATGGTTGGTGGCAACTTTTTCTTTGGTTTATCATGATATTCAGTGCCCTCCTGCTTGAGTGGCTCGGTTGGCAGTACCACAGACGAGAAATCTGGAATCGATATATTGTTCGGATCTGAATCTGGGTACACTCCGGGAAAATCTAATTGCGACAACGGCAAGTATGAGATGGAGTAGTCCCTCGTCGTGCCATTCTCTTCACATTTACGAGGGTCGTCGTCTGTTGATATGGTAGATTCGTATGTCTGAGCAAAAGAAGTTTGTCCTTCTTGCGGGCTGGAAGGCCACGACTTGTGTAGATCCTGGAACCCGGCTTCTGGTTCATGTGCGTGCTGGAAGCGGTCTGCATACTCACTGCCAAAGCCCGTCTCTTGATAGTATGGTTGATCCAAAGGTAAAGAGCCGAAATCTCTAGTCAGATCATTAAACCCCAAGGCTGAGTTAAATTTTCCAAAATTTGAGAGCGTTGTACTGGGATATTGATCCGTATCAGAGGATGTAGATATATCAAAAAGGTGCCAGGGTTCTTCATTGATCTCTGGGCTTCCAGAGCCAAGCTTGATTTCCGGACTTCGGGCATTTTTGTCGAGGTTGTATGCTTGTTGGATGGTACCTGGGAGCCTGTTTAGATCGCCTTCAGCATTGGTTTTACTACTTATCAAGTAGGGTCATCGTACTTGAAGTCAAAACCACCGGTAAAACCACATCTGCCTGTCATCATTGTATTCTGTGATTCTCCAGGCTGATGGAGCAAAAGAAATTCATCGACATATGATTCAATGTCCGGGTCTCCTTGTATAGAATCATGGCTGGGGTCGAGCTCGGGGGTGTGCTGCGGAATGGGATTGTCCCACGAAGGCGAAATAGGATAGATGTCCGACATTTGTCTTGTTCAATAATCGATAGTCAATATTCGCTGCTGCTAGAGGGAGCTCATATTGTAGAGAGGGAATTGGAGGACAGCAAAATTTGAGTTATTCCCTTTTGGTCTCTTCAGTTTCCCGTCCACGGGGTATTCAAAGACTGAAGGAATACATGGGTACAAGCCATGCCCCCGCCCATTGCAAGGATGGTGCTTGTGGTATGATGTGGTGTATCTGAGGAAAATCTCACCTCTTACATCAGGGTTCCGAAGTCAGAGAAGACTGCCGGGGAAAAGGGTTTCGAAGTTGGCCGGTAGTTAGCTACTTTGGGCAACCGCCGTTGCTGGGTTTCAATGGCAACTCAATTTCACTTCGTCAATGGAGTTAAGGTCTTCATGCAGATGAGATTTGGCAGAAGAGAGAGCAGCAAGCTAGGTATAAGAGCAAGTGGGGTGGAATTGAGGGAGAAAGTAAGGGCCACGCTAAAATCCGAGAAGCTGGGTTTGGCAGGGCTTTAAGTCCCATGGAGGAGGTGATCGGTAACGGTGATGCAAGAGAAATGGGTAAAAGCGGTTATGCACGTATGTAGTTTATCCAAGGTGTGTGAAGGTCGGATTGGTGGAGAGCATTTCGAGAGTTGAGGACAAGTGAGGTGAGACAGAAGCAATTGGAGGAAGAAGAAGAAGAAGAAGAAGAAGAAGCAAATTCTAGTCGAGTCATGAGATCTCTCACAAACAATCCATGCTTCAAAAACAGTTTCTTGGCCCAGGCCCTAGTCGCCAGCTAACAGAACGGGCAAGATGGTCGGGAAGAGGATTCCGTGGCAATCATCTGGCTGTGTCCAATGCGCATCGCCAACCCCCAACCTGAACGAGGGAGGATCCAAGCTACCCGCGATTCCACGCAGAATGGAATGGGCGATGATGGTGACATCGACCAACAGTCATAGAATTTTTTATTTTTTATTCTTTTTTTTTTTTTCTTTCTCCTTTGCAGATTGCCAACGCGGGGCCAGCGAGAGTTAACGTACGGAGCAGAGGGTTTTCTCTCTGGCTTGTTACAGCGTAACTAAGCTGTTGGCCAGGTTGGCGTTCGTGGCCGGCAGAGTCCAGGGCGGCGGACGTGCTCACCGGAGCTCCGCATTCAGCTAAATTGCTTGGCTTTTGTACGAATTCTCGGCCTCAACCGCCGCCTAACTAAGTCCGAGGGATCTAGTCTGTCTGGTACGGTACGGAGTACTCTGTATAATTTCTCCGAACCCAGCGGTTGGGGATGCGGAAACCTGGAATAATACTCCGTGAAAATAAATCATCAGAATATGTTGCTCGAGGCTGTATCCCACTTGCCGGATGCAGCTGAATAGCATCCCTTCGTTTATGCTGTTCTAAGGTTACTGAGGCTTGTTGAGATTTTCTGCCTTGCTTCTGCGAAGCGAACTGTTTGGTTTGATATTTGATATCTTGGATGTTGTTGCCGCTCCATGCTTGTTGGTTTGCATGTAGGAGAGTTGTTGTAGGAAAGAGGGCACACACACACCGGCCGGGCACAACGATACGACTTTTTGAGACTCACGGTGTGCGGAGTGTTTCTGTTGTTACCCCTTTTCAATGCATCAGCCAGCAGTCGAGCGCCTATATCTTCAGCAGCCACCTTCCGACCTGCACAGAACCGCATTTTTTTTTTTTTTCTCTTTCTTATTAGGTCATAGAGATTCCACCAGTCCCACTCATACTTCCACTTATGTTTGGGCTTTGAAGCCCCTCGTCAGCCTTGTCAATTCCCGGCACCCGTTCGTTTTAGACCCGCCTCCAAGCTAAAAAAAAAAAAAAAAAAAAAAAAAAAAAAAAAAAAAAAAAAAAAAAAAAAAAAAAAAAAAACAATAATAACATTACTCTTGCCACAATGCATATCCTGGTACTGACTTGATCTTTTATAATAAATTTTTAATTTTTAATTTTGTCTTTAGTTCTGTTGTTCGGTTGCCTTGGGTCGCTCCCGCATCCCAGCCTGGACGGGCGGTAAAAAAACGATGAGACTGTTCCTTTAAAGCACTGGTGTGAGAAGTCTGGCTGATTGCAAGTCATCTCAGGTAGTAAATGATGACGGACCGCCTTCTCAGAAATGTTCACCATATCTGTTCCCCTTCGTCAAAACCCTAGAAAAAGCCGGCCACTTGGTTTCCGTTGTCATCCCTAATTCATCCCGGTCCTGGATTGGCAAAGCACACATCATTGGCGAGACTCTGGAGGCGACTTACATTTCTCCAGAAGCTCTCGTCAAAGATACTGGCAATTCCGCCCAGGGGACCCACGATCAAAATGATGCCGGAACCAATGGTCTGAACGTACCCAGCAATCGGCACGGCAGATCAACCCCAGAGACTACACGGCCTTGGGTCGTCGTCAACAATGGCACCCCTGCTGCCTGCACCCAACTAGGCATCTACAGCCTTTTTCCCGATCGCGAGCCCATCGACCTCGTAATTTCGGGGCCAAATCATGGTCGAAACGCTTCAATCATATACGGCTTGGCGAGCGGCACTGTAGGTGGCGCACTCGAGGCTGCGACCTGCGGCAAGAAAGCCATTGCACTATCCTTTGCGAGTAAAGAGAAACAGCCAGCAGAGACTATCCAAGCTGCTTCCCGGCTATCTGTGAAACTCATCGAACGCCTCTCTGCCCACTGGCCTGATGAACGCGTGCAGTTATTCAGCATAAACGTGCCGATGCGGCTGGACGTCGAAGAACGACCGGCTGTTTACACAAACATGTTGCCAAATTCCTGGTCCAAATCTAGCCTCTACCAGGAAGTTGATATTCATACTTCTCAGTCCAAGAAGACCAGCAACAACAACATCAACATCATCAGCAACAGTAGTGATGATATAAACATGCGTGAGGGAACATCCCCCACGAAACGTGGAGGTGACGACGACCAGCGGATACCGCCGCAGCAGGCTAGATATTTCAAATGGGCACCAGAGCTCTCCGATATCCAACGAAGTGTTGAGGCGAGCAAAGTTGGCACTGATACATACACGGTTATGAACGGATGGACAAGGTTGGTCTTTCCCCCCGCTTCCGCTCTTCCCTCCGCTCTTGATGCGCTAACGCCTAACACAATATGGGAACATAGTGTCACTCCCCTTGCAGCGAATTTCAGCCATGTATCTGGATTCTCGGGCGAGTTTACGCTTTGAACACAAAAATTACATCGCAAAACGCGGGACTATATCTGGTTGTTTGGTGGGGAGCGAGCGGGGCGCGGCGCGCGGGTGGGCATGCAAATCTTTTTACAAAAGGGATAGAAAGGAGCGGAACTCATATTATCACCTTCCCTCTTAATAATACTTATCAGCTCTCTTTCCATAACTATCATTTTTCACGCACCCCGATATTCCACGGCTATGTAACTGCTAAGGAAGCATCCATAGATTTCGTGTGTCCTAGAATTGAGGTCATATTTCTTAACATTCTATTACCCCTTCCCTAACCAAGTTGCTCATGTATTCAAAATCCAGCCGTTAAGGGAGGGACGGGAGTGGGCTGGGGGGAAATGGTCAAGACAATGCCAATGTAATAGCTATCATAGACCAAAGCAAATCTTGCTGGAATCTTGAGCGGTCAAGTTTGGCATTCTCTGGTGCCATGCCTACTTTGACCCCCTAATCGCCCAATGTGCCTCCTCACGAATACTTTAGAGTCATATAACTGTATTATTGGAAATAGCGATTCTAATGGTGTAGCTGGCTTAGAATAGGGTGAAGAAGGTGTGTGGGAGTCTGCCCAAATGTAGGATCCGATCCTGGTTGACCGATAAAAAAAGATGGCAAAAATCGAATCTCTGAAGAGATCGAGATTGCTGTTCTCTGGAAATCCTTCCTTCTGGGATTTGCCCTGTACCTTCCAGGTCGGCTAGGTGACCGAGATCAGAATTATGGCGTGGGTATAGTTTAGTTGCCGTCGGGGAGGAAGGGCCAAGGGGAGGGACGATTGTTCATCCCTTATATTGGGTAAATAGAATAAAACGAACGATGGGCGTTAGGGGAAGATGGAAAAGCAAAAACGGCTAATGGATTCATCAATCTAGTACCGTACCATTTCCAGCATCTGTTCACAGTCAACCCAGCAAAACCCAGCCAAGTGAAATAAAATGGAACACGAAAAACAGAAGAACAGCACCGACTCCACTAGCTACAATAGGAAAGTACATACATTACTTAGTTAAAAGATGTAGGAGCAGTAATTACAAAGGAATTTATAGCGCTCTAGCTGCTTCTCCGGCACCGCTTTCCACCGCGGTGGCTTGTTCTGCCTTCATCTTTCCTCGACCTACACCACCTTCGCCAACTCCCATTCTCCGTGCGACATACCGCTGTGCAACAACGCCAACACCAAGAGTTAAAGCCTCCTCGATCCATTCTGAAACCCATTCGCGCGGGTCAACGCCGCCGCTCTCGATGATTTCTGCAATCGCGTCCGGCATGGTAGAATGGACAAAGTCGTCGGGGTTGTCTGGATTAGGTGGTGAAGGGGGGGCGGCATCAAGCCAGTCAATCCATTTCTGTGGAACGGCTTGCGTAACGGCATGAAAAGCAATCCCGTGAATGGGATCATGAAGATAAAGTGCAAAGAAGACTTCCTCTTCAATATCTTCCTTTACCTCCACTATACCTTGAGCTGGTTTTTCTGTGTCTCCACTGGGGCCTGCTTGGAAAAGCTCTGGTGGTGTAGGTTGGGAAATCGCTTGGATGGCAAGGAAAATGTCACTGCTACGGACGGGATTGGACTCCGATAGTATCTCGGATGCTTGTTTGGCGGCTTCCTCAACGCCACCTCTTGTAGAAAAGTATTCCGTTGCATATGCTTCTGCACTTGCTCGGACAAGTTTTGTACCGGCTACTGCACCCTTGATGGCCGATATAGATCGTGGTTTCCCGACAGACACCGTACGCCACCACGGGCCATCGTTCCAGCCAGCCGATGAGCTGTGACCTACGTGAGCATCCGAGCCACGTCTGGGTGCGGCTTCCCGACCGCGTTGGATGACGAGGAGATCTCCTCCTTCGACCTGGGACATTACTCGAGAGAAGACTGAATAAATCAAAGGATCCAGCGAAGGATAGCCCGAGAGGTCATGTGTGATGTGGATTTGGAGGCGTTCATGAGAGGAAATAGGAGGAGCTAGAGTATGGAGGAGGGAGGTAAACGTCGGGATGGCTAGGGTTCGTAGCTCGCCGCCTATAAGTATTAGAATAGCCCATAGAAAAGGGGGTTAAAGGATATTTCTTAGCAGTGAGATTTTCTTTTTGCGACTCACCAAGACCTCGAAGAACTCCAACATTGCCTCTAACCTGATCAGCCCATTTTTGAGCTTCCTCGTTTTTCTGAATCTCCTTTACGGCAGCCTCTGCCTGTTTCACAGCAGCTGAAGCAGTAGCAAAAATTCCACCCCACCAGCCGCCGCCACCGCCGCCTCCGGTCTTGCCTGCTTCCTCCGATGTTGGAGTATCCCCAGCATCTGACGAAGTTGTTTCTGGAGGGGTTATGCTTGTGTGATATGCTCGGGAGCTATCTCCTGATTTTCTAGGTGGCATTTTATCGTCACTGAGCCTGCCCGAAGGCGGGGTTGTCGCAGAGGTTGGTTTAGGAGATTTGTTTAAAGTGGAGGAAGTTCGGGGTGTTGGAGGTCTTTGAGAAGCAAGGTCCTGAAGTTCAGCTAATAGGTCTTGCTCTGACTTTTCTTGCGTCCCTCCCGCTGCTTGGGTTGCTCCATCATCGACACCAAGGTCATCGAACTGAGCAAGCAGCTCGTCATTTGTAGGGGCCGTCTTCCCACTCTTTGACATGATGGATTTCTCCCAATTGTCCGAAAGTCGGTCGCTGTGGATACACCGCTGATCGTTTTGACGCAGATTCTAGAAAGCTAATAGTGAATCCTCCCTTGCAAATGAGATCGCATTCTCGAAATAACAATCGAAGTGAAAGGTTTGGGCTTGTTAAAGCTTGAATGCTGTTCGAACGACGTTGGTGATGGCGCCAAGCTAAGTAGTTCGTTCCCCACACTTTCCAGGACGGAGCGTTTGAGCTAGTCCTGAAACGGTACACCAGTTTTTAGTCACGTGAATTGATCTTTGGTTGGTACCCTAATCCCAACCTATTTATAGTGTACTCACGTAGATAGATTCAACAATGTTATTGTTGGGGGTCCCGCGGTTGATCGGCCCTTCTACCAGCAGTGCGCTGGTGGTGATCGAGCTCTTTTGCCCCAGTAGCCTACAGGTTATGAGACTGTTAAGCGTGAGCCCTGCTGTGATCAACATGCATGGGTTCGATCCCAGAATGGACTTAAAAATTCTCAACAAATACCCTGGACATTTAACAGTGCCAAGAGACATCCCAGGAGTGTGCCCTAGAAGTCCCTTGAGCCCTAGGACTGAGTGAGTCCACTAAGAGGAGCCACTGTGGGGAGCCACTGAAGGGAGCCACTGAGAGGAAGTACTGTACTCTGTGGTAGCTGGTCCGAGGGGGGGTGTTGGGGGTCCCGCGGTTGATCGGCCCTTCTACCAGCAGTGCGCTGGTGGTGATCGAGCTCTTTTGCCCCAGTAGCCTACAGTTATCCTCCAAGAGGTTATGAAGCCCTCAATAAGCTACGGAAAACCGCTGATAATGTGCCAACCACGTCTCCACGTATCGTTACACGTGCCTAGATGTCTCTTTTTGGAATAGTTGAACCCCTCGGGTGGAACGCCGGATCTAACAAGGGAATACTTGCCAACGCGAAGGACAAGAAATCCGGAAATGCCAGAAACACAATGAGAAATGACAGCGGGCTTGCGAACGCCTGCAACGAACCAAAGAACGATTGCCCTAGGAGCTTTCAAGGTGGATGATACGATCGTGGAAGAACGACCAGACGAGTCCAATAACGATTTTGAAGATCCGGTTGGAGACACCAGCGAGATGTTAGATAACGCGGATGGCCCCAGTGGCTATGATACAAATCCTGCAAGTGAGGAAACTCGTATGAGGTTGGAGATTGCGAGGCTCCAACATGAGATTGAAAGGATGAAAGCTGGCAGGGCTAATGAGACCCTGGCTAGTGATGACAATGTCAGTGCAGATCTGGCAGAGTTTTTACAAAAACAAGGAAGGACTTCAGCTCTTATGAAGATCCTGGGTGAGTTCCGAGATCAGGTTAGGCCCATCAAGAAGCCAGTTATCCTCACAGGCTCTGAGAACTACCCAATGTGGAAAGAAGAGATCCTCCTAGCAGTGAGGCAATCTCGTACGATTGATATCATTGACAACAAGCAAATTGGTCCCAAGGAGAACGCAAGCAACGACATGCAGCGGTTTTGGGAAGAACATAATATGTGGTTGTATAACCACATGTGGTCTGCGATCGCCCCGCAGGCGAAATCTCATTGTACAATACAGATGGACTCTGAGCTGTCTGCCTATTCCCTATGGAAGATCATAGAGAAAAACTTCACTGAAAGACCTGGTGTCCGGAGGACAAGGTTATACAAGGAGATGGCGAACCTATCTGCCAAAACGAAAGGCTCAGATCGCGCCTTTATCGAACGCTTAATTGCCATAAGGACTGACTATATCCGCCTGGGGTATAGGGTTGAAGACTTCATGTTTTTTGACTGCCTACTTACCGGAGTAAGCAAAGGGTGGGCCTCATTCATCAAGAATCGAATGGACCAGATCGACAAAGACAATGCTCAACCCCTAGAGGCCGACTTCATGGGCCTCTGCCGTGATATTCTACTACGTCTCCCAGCAGTTGGAGAAGGCCCAAAATATGTGTCTAGGAATCCAACCAACAACGCGAGGGAATTGGACAATAGGAAGGGCAGGAGCAAGGAAAAGTATGAGGATACGGACCCCAGACCTGAACGTAGGAATAATGACATGAAGACCTGCTACCACTGTCAAAAAGTCGGTCATATCCAAAATTATTGTTGGAAGAAATACCCCGAAAAACGTCCTACCAATCCCAATCTCAATACCAATAGAAACAAGGATAAGGGACAAGGAGAGTGAGAGCCTGAGCCTCGTTGCATAATGCGAATCGGACTGGGCAGGGGCGGACAAATCAACCACCGGCTACATTATATTGATAAACGGGTCGCCAATCTCATGGCAGTCGCAGAGGCAGACATCTATCGCCAAATCGACCACGGAGGCCGAATAGATTGCAGCTAGCGAGGCAGCCTGTGAGATAATCTGATTGAATGATATGCTACATGATGCTGGGTTAGTGGAAGGAAAAGCGAAGATATGCTCGCAACTATGAGTTGACAATAAGGGTGCAATTGATCTAGCAAAGGGGGAATCTCTGAAGCGACGATCGCGTCACATTGAGATAAGATACCATATCCTCCGCGATTTGGTTGAAAAAGGGGAGATCATGATGGAACACGTTGGTTCCATGGCCAATATAGCCGACGGCCTCACCAAGCCGCTGGCAAGCCAGCTTTTGAAGAATTTGTTGAAAGGATTGGTTTGAAAGAGATCAGGAAAGAATAAGGTAATGGTGATACAGTGTATCAATGGATTTCGTGTGTATTTGTTGATTTTTACGGTTATTGCTGTACAGACGCTTTTCCTAAGAAGGAAATCAGGGTCTGATTGATGTAATTAATTATTATTGCGTTTTTGAAAGAATTGAGGATGGAGCGGGTGGCAGGCATTAGTGGGTGTTGGTGATTGCTACGGAGTACACCTACTCTAATCAACGTGCCACCCAACCCTATTTAGTGTAACTCGCGTAGATAGATTACACACACACAACAACGTTATCCTCCAAGATTTTTCAAGACTCTAGAGATTCATCTCGACACAATACTTTTCAGACCTGTCAGAAAATGCTTTGCCTGGTTTTATTCAATCTCCACAGGCGTGATTGCTCCGTGGGCTACAGAGTAAAGACGAATTGAGAATTGAACATCCGAGGACAACAAATAAATTTTAGTTGAGACAGAATAATAACACGTTCATATTACTAACAACTAACTTCCAGCATAAGCTTCGCTCGTAGAAATAATCCTACAATCCCGGTGCTCTAAACTACTACTAGTTATTCCTTGTCGGCATCTTCCCGGCGTTGTACATGTACCTCGACAGAGCCGATGCCGAGATCTGGCGTGTTGGTTGTCCAAATGTGTCCATGGGTTCTACCCGGAGGTTGTTGAGACTCGGCTCATTCCAACATCGGGTATGCGTTGAAAAGTTTACAATGCTTCAATGGCATGTGGGATATAGTGGTATATGCCCGTTGTTGATGGGGTGAGTTGGATGGAGGAGATTGAACCGGAAGATCCTGGCGGGGTTAACTACGATCGCCCACATACCGTTACTTTTACTCCACGATTGGCGTTGCATAACTCTTCTCTGAGTGGCATAAACCCTGGTCAAAAGTGGAGAATTTCCTTTTTTGGGGTCTTGGCGTGAATACAGCTCTCTAATTGGTGTTAGAGTTAAGCGAAGCACAATCCTGTGACATGCTATATCAACCACCTCCCACATCAACCACCTCACTGTCAATTAATTTGAGTCTTTGAGATCCTTAAATTTTGCTTCTATATGTGATCATGGCACTGAGATTGTGACACTGAGATTTTTCAAGAATTGTCTGCAAGAAGAAGAGCCCATTCAAGAAACACTTTGTGACTGAGAATTCAGAGACTATGATTTTAAAAAAACAGATGATAAGTGTGAAGTCAGTTTACAGTTGTTGATATTGAGATTTTGACTCTTTATATTGAAAATGAGACTCTGCACAAGAAGAATGTGTAGAGTTCAATCACCACCAGCGCACTGCTGGTAGAAGGGCCGATCAACCGCGGGACCCCCAACAGAATGTGACTCTGAAGACTAAATTCAGAACTATTATAAATCTTCTTCAGATCACTCAAACTGTTCTTGAGAATGAGATATAAGTCAGTGAGATGTTTTTTCCTTTTTTTCTTTTTTTACTTAGTTAGCTGGTGCTTTTGCACTGAAAAATAAATCTCTATTTGTTTTTACAATTCTATCTCTTCTATTATTATTAATAATAAGCCATAAAATCAATCTTGCAGGGCCTTCCATTTTGAGCTTAGCTCCACAATGTCTTTGCACACAGAAGCTCGAAGATATTTTGACTATCTTATCCTAAAAGGTGCGTACCGAATACCTGGGGCCTCCAGTTTTTGTATGCTACTCTAGTACCTTGGGCTCAGGTGGCGTCTCCTTTTTCTAGAATCCTGATTGAAACAATATTACGTTGGTACCAGCAACTTTTCTAAGTTCACTACTTCTCCATCGGAGTCCATCCTGCAATCGTCACCATGCGCCTCCCATACGTTCCCAACCCACCCCCAGCCTCCAACGAAGAGGATGAAGCCATTCTCAAGCGCGTCCAAGTTAGAAGGGGAGAACGGGGCCTCCTCCCCCTCGACCTAGCACTTCTCCATTCATTCCCCGTTGCCGACGGCTGGAATTCATTTCTCGGCGCTATTCGTACCAAGACCTCGATTTCCCCAGACATTCGCGAAATCGCAATCTGTCGCGTTGCCGCTATAAACGAAGCATGGTTCGAGTGGAAACACCATGTTCCCTTGTTGACAGAGGCCGGTTTCCCCGATGAGGCATTAAAACTTGTGCAGCGTGGAGTAGACAACCCACCCACTGACGCTGAACTGGCGGCATTGATGTCCTCAAAACAAATTGCCGTTTTAAAGTACACGGAGGCAATGACGAGGACGGTTAATGTACCCGAAGAGGTGTTCGCGGAGTTGAGGAGGCATTTCAGTGAGAAGGAGGTTGTCGAGATAACAGCTACAGTTGCGGCGTATAATTGCGTGAGTAGGTTTTTGGTTGCGCTGGATGTTGGGGAGATGAACAAATAAATAGGTATGCAAGTGTGAAATATGCGTGTCATTAGCGGCAGTGACTCGCGTTTGAGCTGACTCTGAGCTGATTTAGAGACTTGCTCATAAGTCCGGTTATGATGAGTTGCCTAATATAGCCCTGGTATAGAATCCACGCTGAATATAAGTTGCCAATTCGAGCTTCAACAAGGGATTCCTCAAATCTAATATAAATTTCTCATGAAGGCCTAAAATCTGTTGGAGCGGGAAACGAACAAGGCTTCAGTGTATGTAAGATAAACATTAATTGAAATCCGGTTTTAAGCGGCGCAACCTGGCATTCGCTGGGTCTTTCCTTATTTGACAATATAATTTTGTATTCGTTGATATGAGGCATATTTAAATTCACCAAGAGAAAATATAAGGGGATTTTCTTTTATACACCGGTTTGAGTAGTTTTGAGTAGTTCCCCAGCCATCTTAGAGAAAAGTAAAGAAATGTTAGAACCAAACAACCCCTGCCCTAGGTTAAGTCCTGTCATTTTCTGTTGTATTGGTGTTACACATCTCAGTATCTACATAATAATAATTATTGGAACGTGTGCGTATGAACTGGTCTTGTTTAGTGAAGGATCATTATTCTCTGATTATTGTCAAAAAATTTGCTGAAGAAAAATATGTCTAAGGTACAGCAAGTTGCATACCATCCCTTGGACAAAAGTGAACAGAGCAACAAAGGACTTGTGTTGATGTTGTGCTGTCAAGATGAAAAAAACAATATCAATACATCTTATGGTACAGAAAGTTCTCACTTTTGATTGGCCAGGACAGGAGTCTGCAGGTAACGTGACTTTGCTCCAGCATTGTAGTAGATCCAGCTCTTAGACCCAGAATGCAGAAATCTTTACTACAAGATCAGTTCCTTCAAGGCTACAACAACATTAAAATATCCTGAACATATGGAAATAATCTGTGTCTTGAGAGCTGTTGACCAGTGATTCATCTCTCCCTTTCTCTTCTGTTGTTGTTTTATTACTTCCTTGTCCGATTCAGCTCCACGCCGCTTTGACCGAGTTTCTACCTTACCTCGCAAAAATTCTTTTTACTCTGTACTCGCCCATCGCCACCCTCCCACAGGCTTCGCGAAGCTGTGGCCAGCGGTTAATTCTTCTTATCATTTACATCCTATTCTCTTCTATTAATTATTACTTTTAATTTTAAAACTTCTGCTGAGCGGATCCTTCGTCTAATTCGAGGGCCAAAGATTCAACTCCAACAACTAACTCAATTTGCGGCTGGCGGTTCGAATCTAGCCAAAACCTGGCATTGAATCAATTCTATTCCCTCTCCTTCGTTGTTGCAAAACTTTGAAATAACCCGATGTATTATTGCTGAAACGCTTAGCAATTGCTAATCATTAAATCGGATTTCATCAGCGGTTCAGGTACGATACTTTTTTTATTATTTCTTTCTTTTTTTTCCCTCCCAAGTTCCAGTCGCGTCTGGCGATGCCACATACTATTTGGACTTGCATTACCCGAGATAACCTAAATTGGATGTTCCCGCCAAAATTCATAATATACCCATGTTTACTGCAAACACTATGACGATATGTCGAGTTGCCGCTTCGCTAGGCCGATGCTTTTGTCTATAACCTTTAGGTTGTTTTGGTTCATTTTCTTTTTTGTAGATTTTATGTTTTGAATATTTACTATGCGCTGTTTCGGGATACTTTCATTCTCTTTTTCGGACGCGGCGCTCGTCCTGGTCTATGCGCACATACTGAGTTTACCTACAGATAAGTAGATTGTCATCATGTCATTTTTGGTTCAAGATGATATAGACATTGGCGCTCGGGGTACAGAAACGCCAAGATCTCCTTCATCGCCGTTACGCTTGCAGCAATCGGAGCCGCCCAGACCATCGTCTCGTTCAATTCAATCAACTCCCGCTGCTACCAGCCTTCTGCCCTTGAAATGTGCATGGTGTAATGAATCATTTCAGCCTACCAAAGAAAATGCAATTTCCCCTGCTGAGGAGCTCAGGCAACATATGGTGATTGCTCACCCCGAAGTGTCCCTGGTTGAGCAAGATGCCGCTGACGAGACTCCTCTTACTGAATCTGGCCTCGATGAGACTGAGCAAGCTAGTCGTCTCGAAGCATTTTCCCGTGAAGCGGTAATTGTGGAAAGGCGCCTTGATGCGTTTTGGAATATCAATCATGTTCAAAAATTCACTGACGACTACGATGGAGAGAGTGAGGATCTTCCTGCATTCTGGAAAAATACATTTGGCGATTTTGAACGCCCGAAGCCATATGAGACAGAGGCTGTGGCGAAGGGAAATTTTCTACCAATCACCAAGCCCGAAATTTATGTTGACATTTTAAATGACCCAGAGTCACACACGACCGAAGAGCTTTACGCCATCACGGCAAATACAGCCCGGGCTCTCAGGGTGTGGCAGGATGAGTACCTAGCCATCGACAAACTATCGAAACGAGCCACACGGCATTCATTGAAAAAGGCTGCTAATCCACGAAAGCTGGAAGATCCGCTCGTTTTTGAAGATAAAAAAGAAGCGATGCTTTATGGATACAAACACGATCCCCGGGAATCAAAAATAGGATTCCAAGACCCATTTGCCCAGGGAGGCTTCAAACCAACTCCAACGCAACTGAAAAGGCTGAAACTCAACGCTGCAGACCCTTTCAATGTTGATGGTTGGAAACCAATTAAACTTAATGGTGTCGAGTACATTCCCGGAGTCCGCCCGCCGTCCAAACCAGCTCCCAGAAAGAAGCCTATAGAAGTGGACACAGCGGATGCGAGTGGTACAACGAATGGTATAGATCGTGAAACTGATGGCCGCCCAAAACGAATAACCCGGTTTGGGGGCTTCAGACATGCCTTAACTAGAGAAACCTCCCAGGTACAAACAGAGCCGTCAAGCCCCGTCTCTGCACCAACGCCTGCAAGAGCTAAACGACCCAAGTCACGCGCGACTTCAACAACCCCTCAACTACCTTTACAACCCAGTTCTCCGAAAACTAGTACACCTACCACTCGTCCAAATCAGCCCGTTAAATCATTAACCGTGAAGCTGGCAACATCCGGGATTCCAGTTACAACGGCCACCCCCGTAACACCGACCGCTACTTCTCATTCAAGACGATCAATTACTAGGGAACGTGCTTCTACACCCCTTTATGAAGATCCACTCCTGGACCCCAAGAACCAACTTAAGATCCAACAGTCCAAGAATCCAAAGCGAACAGAGGCAATGATCATCCACTGGGCAAAATTTAACCACGAAGGTCGAACCAGAAACCCAAAGCGAACCAAAGCGCAGATTGAGGCGGATAAAGCTGAAGCAGAAAAGCAAGGGGGCGCCTCGAAGGCCCCTCCTGGGCGAAAGAGGAGATCTAACTCGAAGAGTGGTGGAGCCGATAACCAAGACGCTCCCCCTAAGAAGGCCAAACGTGTTGCAAAAGGCACCCTAGCACCAGCTACGCACGAAAGGGTTGAGCCAGCAGAGCCTTACCAGATTGTTCAACCGCAACCTGAACTTCGGCGACCTGACCTTTTGATAAATCCATTAGCTGTCCCTACACATCCCCAAGTCCGATACAGTCCCTACGGTGGGCAGGTATATCAAGTAAGCTATAACCAGGGCAACCATCGTCAATAGTTAAGCGAACCTTGTTTTTAACCGTTCTGGGGCAATTTCGACATGTCTATATATGGAAGTCTAGGGGATGGAAAACGTGGTCGGCGTGGTGGGCTTAGCATTTTTGGCACAGAAGGCGTTGGCGGGATTTTCGCATTTAGATTTTTGTGTATCATATCATATGGATTCCCCGGTTTATATGTTGTTGTTTTCTTTTCATTTCTCTTTGCGACTTCTTATACTTTTTCTTTTTGCTTCGGTCGGTCGGGAGTCTTTACGTGGCGAGGATATTGTGTTAAGTGGTGCCCATGATCTGTCTATGTAAATAGTTATTATTACCCCCGTTGGCTACTTCATGTATTCATAGAACAGGAAAAATTTACGAATCTGTATAAATTAATTCTTTTCAAGGAATTACTATTATTGCTTCTTCCAATGTCTTATCTCAGAATCTTAGCAGCTGCCCAGGTCAGGTTATATATAGGTAGTCACTCACTCTTTGAAGCTAATCTCAAATAGGAAATAAGCTAATCCAAATAGGTCAGATCTTATGATTTCAATTATAAGTGAGAATAGTAATTTAATTTGTTAATTTTTATTTTTATTTTTTAATTTTTAAATATAAAATATTGAATTAAAATTGATTTATATCTTTTTAAATACAGAAATAATTTGATATTTTTATAATTTTAAAGAAAAAAATGATCATTTTTAAGTTATTTATATTAAATATTAATTTTTTTAAGATAAAAATTATATATTTCTATTTTTCTTTTAGCTATAATCTGAGATAATTCAAAGTTGGTCCATGGTTGCCACGGGAGACACCAAATTAAATCACGTGACAAGGCTATCTTCCCTGTGCTCTTGATTTGGAAACTTTTCCCATCGCGATCACAGCAGCCCTTACCAATTTTGCGACCGTTTTGTAGCTATCTTGCATTAATCCATCTTTACCACACTTTAATATTATTTTCCACCCATAGCTCACTATGGGTAAGAAGAAGCGTGGTCATCCCGACCTCGAGGAACTCCTGAGCCGGCCCTGGTGCTATTACTGTGAACGCGACTTCGACGACCTAAAGATTCTAATTTCCCACCAAAAAGCGAAACATTTCAAATGCGATAGGTGCGGTAGAAGACTGAATACAGCCGGAGGTGAGGACTGCCCAACTTTAACTTTAGATCGATTACCCGACAATGTATTGACTAACTAATATTGGTACTAGGATTATCTGTTCACATGAGCCAAGTCCATAAAGAGACATTAAGTGCCGTGGATAATGCCCTACCTAACCGGTCGAGCTTGGATATCGAGATTTTTGGCATGGAGGGCGTCCCAGAGGATGTATTGCAGGCTCACAATCAGCGCGTCCTGACTCAATATCAACAGGCTGAAGCGGAACGACGTGCTGTGACTGGGAACCCGGCACCTGGGGTGCCAGGTGGTGGAAGTCAATCGAAGAAACCCAAGTTCGAAAGTCCCGCAGAATTGAAAAAGAGACTTGCCGAACATAAGGCGAAACTTGCTGAACAAGCGGCGGGAAGCAGCAGCGGGGATGTCACCCCTGTTGGTGCTGGACAGGGGATACAGACAGGTGCGGCTGCATATGTGAGTGTCTTTCGCGTTTTTCCATCCGAGCCCAATATTTGAAACGCTATCTGACAATACATGGACTGTAGGCTCCAACGACTCAGTATCCTACAAGTCAACAGCCGTTGAATGGCTCAAGTCAGCCGTATCCTTATCCG